ATGGCCAGCAGGAATCCAATCACCAGCAAGCGTGACTTGGAACTTGGCAAGAGCTCGAACTAAAGATGTCACACTGTTTCCTGATCTTGGAAGTGCTGTTTCTCTCCCAGGCTTCTCAGCTCAAATGCGTGTGCAGTCCTTTGCCTTCTCCCACTCACCACAGCATTTCGTCATTCCTGTGTTGTTTTATGCTTTGCTGTGCACAGTTTAGTTTCAAATATAATATGTTGAAGCTGGGATGAGAATTCAATTCCGTACGTGCGGTGCTGGTAGTTCGTCAATCAGATGCTCTGTAAAACCAAGCTTGAAATCTAGGTTGTCGGGGCTGGACGGAAGTTTTAAGACAGCAGTGTGGGCCAATCGCTAGTGACAGTCGACAGCTCAGGCAGCAGAACTGCAACGCTACCGAGGAAGCTGCAGCCCGCGAAGAGAAGCTTGGCCCGAACTTGCCCAATCCATGAGCATTAGGGATGTACTGGGTACAAATCCTACATTATCGAAGTTTAAAAGTATGACTCTCCGATGGCAAGCAGCAATTGAGAGCCAATAGAGGATACCAGTCTCCAGTCAGTCTCTGAGGCATGTGGTTGTCAAGACACACAGGCACATTGCGGACTAGATCTGCGAACCAGGCTGTGCATGAAACGGCGACGACTGCTAATCGCTTCCTGGTCATGAGGTATACATTCCCGCAGTGAGAGAGCCTGAGGCAGATGTTGCAGCGCACTTCCTGAATCGATCCTCGTAGGGCTGATTTGGCAACACTCAGACGTGGCTGCACAGCACAAGACCTACAAAACAAGAAAAAACGGAAAGAGCCAGCCCAAACGAGACCATGAAAGTGTCGCGGGAAGCCAATGGTCCAGCTTTGCGTGAGATCCAAGAGACGGAACCCTTTCGAGATGCTGAGCGGGTCAAATCAAAAAGCTTGTCTGGTAGGTTGCATGCCAAGGAAGGCTCAGGCGGAGACCGCAAAGCTGCAGGAAGAGAAGAGGCATCTCACAGAGGAGCGATTCCGACAGTTCAGGTGCAGGTGCTTCAGATTTACAGATCTGTCGCTGCTGCTCGACGAACCGACGACGACACGTCGACCAGAACGACGTCGAAGACGACCACAGCACATAGGCGGTATGTCCTCATGTACTGGTTGCAATGACTCCAGCACCTGGAACACTTTGCAGAATAGACTGGGACGGGATCCTGCTAACTCCAGAACTGCTGGTAGACGAAAGGTTCCAAACAGATCATGGCGGGAGGGGTGTAACATGGGCTGGTGATGTGGAGGGTTCACGGATGTCCCGAAGGCAATCGCCTGTGCCCAAGACAATCGACAATACACCTACATTGAGTCGGATCGTGAATCGCACACTGTTTATACTGGTACTGTCTGTCAGGGCTGATCAGACATGGGTGGCGAGAGTATGCGATTGGCTGTCCATGCTGCCGTCTCAACGCAGGTTAATTCGTTTGAAGCCTGGCTGGGAACATTGAGCACCGAAAATAGAACTGAGCAGGCGCGCAGGCGAATATGGGTACGTTTTCAGATGCTTGTCCTCCCCGAATCCAGACTTCTAAGACTTGTCCAGAACTTGAGTGATGTCTCCAAGCAGGAGCTTCAGCAGATGAAAGACGGCTGGGAGAAGACCCAGCAGGAGCCCCTCGCGCCACGTGGGCAATGACCATGCTGTCATATTATCCAATGACCATGCTGTCATATTATCTTTCGCGTGTGTTGGCTGCACTTGGCCAGCCTTTACGTCTTTGCAGGACATCCTGTTTGATAGGGACCGAGGCACATACTTCGTGAAACTCTCGGGTCGTTGCCGTCCAGGCGATGCAGGTTTGCTGCAATCGTGGGATCTTTGACGGATTCGATGGGTGCCGAAATGATGGGGGCTGCAGCGCTAGGGGGGTGGGGTGGGGGTTAGGTTAAGTGATGAATTTTGCCTCGCGAGCTTCGTTCGGAGCGCTGCTTCAGACATTTCGACGCAGTTCTCGAAAGGATCACGGCGACCTGTATTGATCCAAATGTCGAGTCATTGATCAAGCCCGAAACCCGCTGGGCTCCGATCCGATTGCCGAATGCATGCTTGCATGTTCTTTTCGACCGGCTGCTTGGCAGGAACTTGAACTCCAGAAGAAGCAGCAACTTGCCAGACTTGGGCCACGGCTAAGTGATGGACAGTTTATATCATACTTTTCAAGTCTGGTGTCTCTTCCCAGACTTCGGGCTTATGCAAGACGCAGGTCATAGGTGTCCTCAGAATGCCAGAACATGCCAGAACAGAACACGCTGTGAGCGACTTGACAAGGAGGTGTGTGTGTGTGTGTGTGTGTTGGCGCCGAGGAGCTCTGCCGAGCAGCAGCGGCTAAGCAAAGAGCTCAAGCAACGAGTGGAGGAGATCGGGTGACTTCTGATACTTGCATTCTTCTTCGCGGCGAGCAAGACTCAGAAAAGCAACAATTCAACTATTCCACGTCCAGAACAGTGTCTCTGTCCGAGGCATTCACATCGGAAGGCTTAGACAAATTTTACTTTACTCTGGTCGGTGTGTGTCATGCAGGCCCGGATTTCGGGTCCGAGCTTCGCATGCATACGTGCTACTGCAGTATGCTGCTGCTGCTGCCGCCGTTGATACTGTCAGTCCAGGACTTGAGACTGAGCCCCCCCCCGTTGCTGCACGCGACAAAAACCTCGCAACCATGTGCGCGGTCTCACCTGTGAGGAGAACCAGCGACTGCAGGGTGAAGTCCAGGAATCGAGGTGATCAGGGCATGCAGGGAGCGGAGGAAGCTAAGAATAATACCAGTCTAGCGATCGTCGTTGTGGCGGATTCGTGTGTGCTGAAGTATTTGCTATTCCAAGCATCAGAGCCAGGAAGAGAGCACAGACATGCCAGCACCCCATACCCTCGCCGCAAACCGAATCAAAGCTCGCGCTGACCCTGGCATGTCATCCGTAGGTCCTCCGAGACCACTCTCCGCGAAAACCACGAGCAGCTTAGACACAAGCTGGACACGGCCCAGCAAGGCCACCAGAATCAGGGACAAAGCCTCGGAGTCGAATGAGTTTGCCAATTAGTTTGGGCTTTCATTGCCAAAATCTTTCGGATATCAATCAACACTACTTGTCTGGGCCATGCGGCATCGGTTGAGCCAGGCCACCCAGAAAGAGACCGTAGTGGCATTGCTTATTGGAGCAGGAACGGGAGAAGAAACGGGTCCAACTTTTAGTTATAGAGTGAACAGCTGCGCAGAGGCCACGCGGAGCTCCTGCGCAGCTTCGGGCAGCTGCGCTCCGAGAACGACAAGCTGCTCGGCAATTTAATTTAAGGCCGCTAAGGTGGTTTTGGGCCAATCTGGCTGCAACTGAGATATCATGCATGTTGGTCTCGCCAGTATGAAGCAAAATAAAGAGATGGGAGTCTACTTGCTGTTCTGCTGGCTTGCCTGCAAGGCTGCAGAAGAGATTGGACGATACGAACGGTGGACGAAGTGCAGAGCAAGGAAGTTCGTTTTGGCAAAGTCTGACTTCGGTCATGTCACCCGCTTGCAGAAGAGCTCACGGCGATCTGGGCATGTTAGCTCGAGAGATTCAACATCGCAGCAGTCATGGCAGTGTTTCATCCAGAGCTAGGCATGCAGCGAAGCGTGTCCAAGGTGTGTACACCCACGCTGATGTGGCCCCTCGACTGGAGGCTCTGGTGGAGCTGAATACCCTCACACTCTCACCTGCTCTGAATGAAAGCGAGTACTGGTCCCGCCCCATGCTTGGCATACTGAAACAGAGTGCCTGACGAAGAGCTAATTCTAAACGCTTCGCGTCGTCGGCTTTTGCCCGGCTGTAGTTGAAGCAGGTCCACAGTTTCGGAAAGCAGCGGTTACTAGTAGGTCACACAGGTGAGGTCTTGAGTGAATCAGTGCATTTGCTTCAGAATGTTTTTTACTAGTCAGAATTTGTTTTCATGCCGAGGCCCTGAGCACCAATCCTATTATCCCATAGGCGTTACTCTAAAAATCGTATCACACGTCTCACTCGTCTCGTATACAGCCTCCTACACGGATTGGCATCAACTTCACGAATGATCACGACTGATGCAAGCTGAATTAAGCAACAAGGTGCAGTCCGGCCAGTTTGCCATCCAAGGTCGAAGCGCCTGTCCTGTGTCAGCTGACTGCTCTGCAGATCCTGGCAAGCAGTTGACAGGCACAGAGCCGTTCGTCCAAGACGCGCAGTCTTGGCAAAGTGCTAACGTCGAAGATCCACAGGATCAGGTCGCGAGAAAGTTGCAGCGGGTGTCAGCGAGATATTTGCCACCGCAAAAGGTATCGGGTAGCTTGAACGACTTACTCGGCACACCGCGAAAGTCAGCATGGATTGTGGCAAATACCGTGGACACCAGTGCGACCAGTGGCTTGTCTTTTGTGTGATGTCGTGTGAAGGCTCAACAGGTCTTCCTGGGTGCCAGGCAGTTGGAGAGACGAAAGAAAGTTCTCTCGTCTCTGCCAAGCAAACGTTTCGCCTCAACGGCGGCCCTGTGGGCGCGCGGCCAGCGGATGAGTCTCGTATTTCAGTGCACTCTGCTTCTGCTTTGTAGTATGGTAGAAGTACATTGAAGTAGTATGAATGCTTGTTCCTTGGTTGCGAAGTGCCGAGACACATCCGAGTCGCGATTGATTTGAAGAGGGCTTCTTCTTTATTGAAGAGCACACGGATAGCCTTGGCAGGTCCATGGTATAATGCCCTCCCTGACTACGCAGTAGTGTGTTGCAAAAACATTTAGCACTCCTGGCCAGGCTTTTAAGCCGTATTTGCAGTCTGTCAAGCGCTGTCTGTTGCCCGATCTGAGAGGGTTGTGCCTGCTCCTGGTGGAAGGGCTTTGCACCTTCGCCGAACAGGCACCAAAGCACAAGAAGGAGCACTGAACTGGGCTTCCCAGCGCGCAGAGAGTCAAGCCAGTCTGTCCTCTCAGTTGCATGCTTCGAAAGCGTGCTGCCAGGTCAGTTGCCGGTGCACCCAAGAGGCTGAGCATGGGGTAGCATGGGTCTGAAGCGCAGGGTCTTGAGGTTTTCTGAACCCCAAGCTGGAGGATCCTGTTCATGCTAGAGAAGTTCTGTCACTTCAAGAGAAGATTCTCAAGGTCAACTCAGTGTGAGCATAGTACAATAAGCTGATGTATAAGGTCTTCAGCAGTTCGAGGGGGTGGACGATTTTGGACTTGTGCGGGGCGGGCGTTTGGCTTTACGCAGGATGATGAGCTTCTCTGCCCCAACCGCGGGGCCTGCAAATCGCTCCCCGGCACAAGGAGAGAGAGAGAGAGAGAGAGAGGGAGGGACAAAGGGAGTCGGAACTGCTGGCACCTCATGCCCTGAGCAAAGAGAGAGGAGGGCAAGAGCGCGAGAATTCGAGCGAGGGCCAGACCTAGGGAGGCGGTCGCAGCAGACCGTTAATTAGTCGCAGGGAGAGGGAGAGAGATTCTAAAAAGAGAAAGAGAGGCCTGAAGTGTGTGTGTGGGGGGGCGGGGGGGGGGAAAGTCCTCTGCTATACATCTCATGATGAACCGACAGCCGAAGCGTTTTCAAGTCTAGTAGCACTTCCATGTGGGTTGTAATTCACGCTTGCAGCGGCAGGGGATGTCAGGTACATCTCCTGGCTCACGGCGCGATGTGGCTTCCAGGCATCGAGCCTGCAATGGCTTTGGCTTCCTCCAGGCCGCGGCTCGAAGTGCCCTCATGTGCTCTATGTGCAGACTGGCCTTTCAAACTCGATGTCTTTCAAATCGGAGGGTGATTTGCACAAAGTTATAAGTTCATAAAAGGAAGCCTCGCAGCCCGGCAGGGATGACTTGAAACTCTGTGCAGCCTTTTCCTGGCTTGAGCCGAAACCGGAGAGGGCTACAACATGTCCGCAGAAGTGAAGCCGAGCCTCACAGCCCCAGAATGGCAAAAAGGAAGCGGTATGGCCCCACAAGCAGCAAGATATAGCAAGATAGGATGCGCAGAGACGGAAGCCAATTCGCACCGGGCAAGTTGTCAAAACGCACCAAGGACCTGCAGGTCCCAGTCAGAGCCCAAAGACCCCGGGTCCGGCGCTGGACCACACGGCAGCGCACGCGCAGAGACCCAACTCGAGAACCCGCACGCGCAAGATGGAGAGAAGAAAGCCTCGAGCCATGAGACATGGCTTGGTGGGATCGGCACTTTGCTGCTCGACACGAATAGCTTGGTTTTTTTCAGCTCCGAAGGGGTTGTAAGATATTGACTTTCATCGTTCTCCCCAGGTTTGTGGAACTTGCGCTTAGTCTTTAGTTTCGGATGGAAAGCCTTTCTGAAGTGTAGGTCTGCCGCTTGCTTTCCGACCTCTCCTGCCACCACATCCTAGACTCAGGTAATTAGCTATGCGATCCAATCGCTGCACCAAGATCGTACTGTGGTCCCAGCTGTGTGTGCAGAGCCAGCAGCGCAGATCGGCTGTCTGATGAGCCCGGTGATTCTGGCATGTGGAGATGCTCAGGCAAAGTTGTCTTGCGCCCGAAGCGGGCAACTGAGGCTTTGGAACACACCTATAGCTACGCTTCCCTTTCGATCGGTTTGCGCGCATCTGGGCTGTGCAATGCCGCTCGACTTGGTCCGCCATTCCACAGGTTCAGGATGGTTCAGGTCATCGTTCGGGCTCAGCTGAGTTACATGGGAGTCAGAAGTGAGTGAGACTTGATTTTGAGGATCACACTCCGATGCGTTAAGTGGCTGACAGAATGCTGAGTCAAGACTCCCAGACGAAGGAAGAATTCTTGCGATCTTCACGCGACTGCTGGAGCTCTTCACAATATTGTCGGGGTTCGGAAACATGCATGGTTTAGTGGCTGCCGGCGTCCGGATACTCATGGATACTGCCCAATTTGTTCCGAGTCCATGGACCCTTGTCTGCCAAGGGAGAGGTGTCCTCGCTGCTTTCGGCTTTGGGCCGATTCCTGGGACGGGTGGACGACGCATTGGACCTGCGCATTGAGCTACTCGAAGAATTGGATATATGCTCGGTGGCAGGTCGGCCGATCGTATCCACGTAAAGCCTGCAACGCCGTGGTTCCTAGTGCAAGCTTTGAAGCGTGTCTTGTGATCGCCGGCTGTGGCTGAAAGGGATTTCGCGAGATCCGGAGCGTTTCCCTGAGGCTGGATGCTGCAGAATCTGAACTTAGCGATGAGGCAGCAGCCTGGATCCTGGCTCCTCGGCAGCTCCAGGGTTCTGTCAGGCAGAAATTCGTTGAGGGTTTTTTGTCAGGCTGTGATTCTGCTTCCCTTTGGATATCGGTGGCTGTGGCTGACCTGCCCGGTTGGTCAGATGCAATTGAGCTTGCTGCGTTTGTACGACATGTGGGCGACATTCAACAGAAGCTGAGCCAACTCATGATTGCCAACACCTGCTTGTTTGCTTGAATATGTTTCAGGACGTGCTGCGCAGACAGCTGGCCAAGCGCAAGGGAGGCTTGCTGGGCCATTGCGATGGGGCCCGAAGATTTCGCGTCTTCTGTGCACTGCTGGAGTCGTAGTCAGGTACGATATCTCACTGCCCCCATGATTTCCGATACTGTATGCCGCTGCTAGGGACAAGCCTCGCAGATGTAACATCATTGCGCCTCCGGACTGGGTTCTTCGTATGGTCGGCACAGCCCGAGCGATTACAGTGCTGCAGCGGATAACATCTTTGTGCACAGCACAGAAACCCTGAGTTGACACTGAGTGGCATCACAGATTTGCGAGTCCAGATTGTGATCGAACCGTTCGATCTGGAAGGCTCATGCCTGCGGATTGTCAAGCTGTTCAAAAACAACGTCATGCCCTCGGTGGCGATGCTGTTTTTGCCTTCGTCGTGCCAGGCATGTGCATTTTACTTGAAATGTTCTCAACCTCAAATAGTACCATTGCCGACGCAACGCTTTTGACTCCCGACGAGATTCTCTGCAGACAGTCGTGGATACGAAGGATCGAAAGAATTTGGTATGTGAGTGCGACGTAGCTAGCCGCACGAGGATCCATCAATGTTGACTTGGCGTCACGAACGATGAACGACTGCGAACCGGCATAGATGCAAAGTGCTCTAACCTTCGTCGATCAATCTGTTGACCGGCAGTCGCATGTACAATGTACCCCCGACCAGATTTGAGCTTCGCTGGCAACACTGTTGTCGAGCCACACGTATCCATGTGAATAGATGTAGCAACAGCGTTTTGGTGAAATCAGTGCCGCAGATTTGGAAAGCGGAGCTCACTCAATGCTAGTAAATGATAATAAGCAGACCTGGTTCGAAGTTGCGAACATCTTGAACATGAGTACCTCAGACGACGAGCCTTTCGAATGCGTTCCGATAGCCAGAAGTATCGTCCGAGTCTGTTTTGTTGAGACATTCGTTGCAATGGTTGTCTGTACAATGACCATGCAGAGGCTCCACTTAGAATATCTGTGTTGCACATGCAGATGCTGCAATGTGCTGTAGAGGTGTGCGCAGATGGTATTCCGAGCATGTCACGTATTGGGAGTTCGCGTGTTTCCGTTTCTTACCTGGTACCTGGAATCTGAAACAGTCAGTCGACTTGTACTGGTACCATTGGCAGCAGCTCCATAGTCTGCTTGTCTCTCAGCATCGTGCTTGAAAACATGATGTTGTTTCTTGAAATCACCCGAAATGTGCAACATCCTAGCTTGGCAACGCTGCTGCCTCAGCGCTGGCTGCGTGGCTCTGGCAGCAGCCGGAAGCCTGTGAGGCCCCGGAGTCGGAGTGTTGCAGGTCGTGGCAGCTGCTTCGTTGAAGTGACGGAGTCGACATATCCAAGAGACTTCCGAGGAGATCCACTTGTCTCACAACCAGATCGGCCACCGTGGCATGGCGCAGCTGCTGACTGCTCTGGCTCGGCATCCCCACGAGGCGTATCCTAGATCGGTGGAGCACTTGGATGAGGCTGGGACCGACTTGCTCACGGTTGCGTGTTTGCACTTTGCCGGCACTTTGAGGCCATTCCGTGTTGGTTGCGGCTAGAGCACAACCAGGCAAGGGGAGCTCGGGGCAACTGCTGGAGCGAGACACAGCTGGCTCCCTTCGTTTGGTGGCGGATGGCTAAGGCAGCCGGTATCGAGCACCTCCTTTCAGTTCTGCAAAAGGACAGTAGCAAGAGCCATGCCAGATCTAGATCATCCATGCCGGTCCATGCCAGTAAGTGCTAATAACTCATGACTCCAGGACCCCACCCACACCACTCTCCCCACCTGCAAGAGTAACAGTAAGAGCACGGGTCAGCTCGGAGGACCCTGTGCGCCTACGGACGTGCCTCGCTCCACGCGGTGAGGAGCGGGCGGAGCGGGTGCATAGATCTCGACTTTCAAAGTTTCAAGGTCTTACGTCTTACGAGGCTTCAGCTTCAACTCAGTGCTGCTACGCAGTGCTACGCAGGACAATTTGTTGCTGTTGCTTGTGCTGCTCGTAGTAGAATGGTGCGAGACTGCAAGACTGTCCCGGTAGCCCGCCACGTGCCATCATGCTGCTCACCGCAGATTAGCTAAACGACTTCCGTCCCCCATGGCCTGCTGGCAGACAGACTTCAGTTGCCGATTTTTGTAGAGGTTGCAGTAGGTCTTCGGTAGGTCAAGTGCACAGTGCATCCAAGCCAAGCGAGTCCTTGCGCTGATGGCACCCTGGATCTAACCCTTGTTCACTCAATAGCTGCAGCAGGAACATTCAGAGACGCTGCGCAATACACTTCCCTGGGCAGTCGCAGTCGTCAGAAAGTGTCATGTTCACCATGCCGCCACGGGGCATGGATAGATATGGATAGCCAATGCCAGGGTTTGGTGGCCTTGATGGGGTCGTTTCTTCGTAGCTTGCACGATCAGCACCTCCTCTCAACCACGGCTCTGGGACCGCAGGATCGCGGAACACAACCCGCCTGCACGGTCTTCCGCTGCTGTCATGGCTCTGCCTGCAAGGTGCGACATTGCAGAAGCTGCCCGAACTGTTGAATGTTTCTTGGTGAAAGACACTCACGCAGTTCTCTTCATGCAGCTTTTGCATGCACATGACCATCGACCAATCCGAGCTAGTGCTCGCAGGACTCATTCAGGGGACAATAAATGACTGCGTGCAAAATGCGTACTTGGTGCATTACATACACGTCAAGACATCATTACTACTACCTGCACACGTACAAGAGGGGCAGATTCCAGAAACAAGCAACTAGCATTCAATTCCACAGCCTCAGTCTTCTGTATCTCTGGTTATGTTCTCTTGCAGAGGGAAGGTGCACGGTGACCTGCAATACACTCTGCAACCTGCTTGACGATGCCTGTGCAGCAAGTCCGAGGCAGACACGCCGCATGTCCATCTCTACTGCGTCGGCAAGCAGAAGGCCTTTCTTATTGCGTGTGCTTGTAAGATGCACGAGCAGCATGCTGGGCATGAATATGTCTGTACGTCGCCCGTGTGTGACCGGAATCTGTGGCAGCATTCGGGTCAGCAGATGCAACACAGTCCTGCAGTTGACTGTTGCGATCGACATGGCCGGCATTGCAGCTTCCTGTTCCGCTCATTTCGCGCACTGATGCTCTGTGTGTCATGCTATCCGGTTCTCTTCCTCTCAAACTGAAAGAGATCGTGCACAGCCGACTGGACACGCAGAGAAGCTAACAAATTCAACTTCCATTCTGGTCCGTCGTTTGCTTGACCA